CAGGTTGTCACAGCGGCAGCCAGGAGGCTCTGCCTTTTAAAGTTCAAAGCATCTGTTTTTGCAGGAGCCAGAGGTACTGATCCAGGGGGAATCTGACAGGACTGTGTGGAACAAGAAACAGGGCAACATCTGTCAGGCCGGCAGCAGCGGGACGCGACTGCTCAACCGGGAGCCACCGTGACGAGCGAAGCCTCAGCCGCCTTGTTAGGCGAAGGGAAGGGAAAAGGAAGAGGAGAAGGTTTGTTTGCAAAAGCAAAAACAAAACAAAAATCCAATAAATTCCAAAAAGGCTGCTCTTTTTGGAAAAAGGGGGAAAGCAGCGTGCTGCGATAACGTCCTGCAAACAGAGCTGGCTTTACCTCTGTAATAATCAAGAGAGCGTTAGCAGAAGCGTCCTGAAGCCCCCAAGGCCCACTTCCAGGAGCTGCAGCTATTCCTCAGAAGCAGGCCTTTGTCTGCAGAAACCAAGTGGCATTTTCATGGCTGGCTGCGCAGTTCGCTTAGGAAAGGGCTGCAGTTAATCTACGCGCAGTCAGCAGGACTTGGTTTGCTGTACTGGCAGGCGCCAAATCAACATCAAGCGTGAAAGAAAACTATAAGATGCCCTATAAATTAATGGGGAAATAAGGCAAGGCTTTTTGGTGAGCTTCTGCAGAGCATTAAATTATAAAATCTAAACAACGGCATATAAGAAAAAAAATCAATATATTTGATGCCTATAACTAAATGAAGGACTGCCAGTATGAAACCATGAAAACCATTAGACCAAAATAATCTATTAGTAAAGGCCCTTGTTGTCAAAGCTGATGTGTGCTTCCCTGCTCTTTTTCTCAAAACTTTATTTTATACACTTATCCTATCAGAGAATCCTACATGGCACCTTATGTAAAGCAGAAAAAACAAGCATTTGCTGCTCTCTAATGTTAATGATGTTTTTATGAAATAGACTACAACAAACTTATGCTATTCTTTAGAAACAGAGGTGTTACAAGGAAAACTGCACAATGTCTTTTGTTCCTTGAGAGACCTATTAAAATTAAGACTTAGATTTTCTTGGTGTTTGTTTTCTTTTAGACCACGTTTTGGTTGTGGCAAACCTCACAACGATTAGCAACACAGTTTTAAGAGAACTGATGCAATGGTACTTTTGGGAAACACTCTGGTCTTTTTTCATGTATATATATATATTTTTTTTCCCCTGCTCTTTTGCATAGCTGAAAGTTTAGTCTCCACATAAACTGAGGAATAGTGTCTTCCCAAATAAGAGGGCATTATCCCAACACTGTTAGAGGATATGGAAAGGATGATGGAGGGGGAGCTGGGAGGTGACACTACAGCTAAAGCAGACTTAGCTGATCTCCCACCCGCTTTGAACTCCAGCCTTACTGTTCAACCACTTGCTGTGCAGCGGCACCGGCACCGGTTGGACACCAGTATAAGCCAGCTGAGGGAGTTAACTTGGCAGAAAGTTAACCCTACAACAAGATAAGGGGGGAAAAAAAAAAAATCTGCCATGCTTACAGTGATGGATCATGACAGTTGCAAGACGCGTGCATATGACTGCTGGAAAAGGTAACAGTAGACACCTGTGTTGACCTCCCCTGCTTTTGTGTGTTTTTCAGTCAACTCAGTAATGCTCACAGCAAGTAACCATGGCTTATTCACAATTAAGTTTTACTCTAGTTACATACCCTGTAAGAATGCCCTTAATGAGCCATCAATATTTCAGCCATCTGGAACTCCAGGGAGCTAACAGCAGCGTGTCTATTCAGGCAGCTCATGGACCATTACTTTCTTTGCCCCCATGAACAGACCACGAAGATATGTTAGAAAGTAATCACATGAGAATTGTTCCAAAGTACGCTAGCACTCAGATTTTCTTATCTAGAAGTCTTGCTCCTTATTCTTAAGGACAGCTGCTTTGTAACAAATGCTCCTGAAAATCTGTTGCTAAAGAATTTTTCTATGTTATTTAACCTCTGCCTCTATCATTCCTTTGCAAAGGTATGGTTTTTCTTGACATCCGAATTACAGATCTAAGAAGTTGCAAATCTGGACCCAAAAGGTAATATACTAGCGTACGCTATCTATCCCTTAACATTGTCATTGGCCTCTTCATGTCAAAGGTATGCTACCTGTAATAATCTTTAAATGAAAGGGAGACCATTTCTTAAGGTCAAAAGACACATGCCAACACATGTTTAGATGAACAAACGCTAAAATCGCCCGTGGAGGCTGTGGAACTTCCAACACCGGAGATTTTGAAGAACAGGTTAGGCAAAGACCTGTCAGGAGTAATTCTCTATACCGCAAGATATGGACAAGGTCTAGACAGCTGTTCAAGGTCCCTCCAGCTCCATCTTCTAAGACTGCAAGAAGGGTTACCATTTTACATGAGAAGGGTTTACCTGGCTACCTAGTCAGTTTTTTTTTTTTTCCCACATCTCTGACAACCATGAGCTACAGTTTATTACTGATGTGACAAATTATCCAAAATGCCTTAGCACTTTCAAGTCACACCTCTTGAGTCAATGTAGGACACTTTACATATAGCAACACAAAGAGGACTTGCTTTAACTCCTCTGATCTCTGAATATATTAAGACCGTTCCATTGTTCATTACACTTGACCTTGCCTTTGCAGCCAGACCATGATTTTCAGGTCGCGCACAATGCTATGGCATGGGTACTGGTGCATGCAGAATAGTTTGAAAGTATATCATCAGGAGCTCCATCCATGGCGAGCATTTTCAAATTAACAGAAGTCCCTGCATGGAACAAACTCAAAACATTTCAAAATCCTTTTCAAAATTCCTAGATTCCTCCACAGCTCCTGCCATCGGACCTGCTTCCACACAGCAGGCAGATGCACCTCAACATCTGCAACAGAGCTTTTCACATCTTTTCCCACACTTTCTTTTTAGCCAGCTGAGCTGAAAGCAGCCATCAAAGTATGATGCTGCTTTATCTCATGTGTCATCGATAAAAGAAGATACATGGGGCAATAGTGTCTTCTTGATTCAGTCCGTGGAGGTTATCACTATGAATGTGTGATATTCATCTTGGAAAGCACCCTAACAGATTACTTGGCCTAATTCCAACAGTAAAGAAAGGATCAGGTTTATTTCCAGTAATATTTCAGTCATAGGACTACACTATATAGACATGCTTACATAGTCTTTCCAGGAAGAGACTGCCTGGTAAGAATTTAGCATTTTCAACCTATATGGATCAACCAAATACCTAAATGTCTAGAAAACTCTAGAACACCAGTTTTGCTACATAACAATATTCATATTGTGAACTTGCATTTTCTTTCTTCAAACTGCCATTTCAATGAATAAATTTCAATTAAAAGTCATATAAAGTAAAAATACATCCTAACCATACTAATACAAGAAAGATCAGATTCCATCATTAGTGACACTCTTAAAAGTGCACTGGGGAGAAAAAGGAAAACTTCAATGTTACTCCTTTTGAGACTTAGGCTGTCATCCTGTCCTGACCAAGGAACATGCTTAAAGAGAGTATTAAGGCCATTTTTTTTCCTGAAAGCGCTTAACAAGAACTCTAGAAGACTCATACAGCAAACAACTTAAAGGCAAAGCTATGAAAAAGTAGCAGTCCTGGTTCTCTAATTTCCTTGCTCTTGAGCGTTTAAGTCAAACTTATTTCATTGAAATATTTTGTTGGGTACAAACATTATCTCAAATGTATAAAAGCATACATATATATAAAAATATATACATTTATGAACACTTGAAAAGATAAAAAGAGATTTTTTTTTCCTTTTTTTTTTTTTTTAACTCTTACAGTAGTACTTTGAAAAGTATGCGTGACTTAGAACAAAAATCATGTTGGTTTTGATTCATAAAGAATCTACACTAGATTAAAACAGAAATTTGCACATTATCATGGCATAACTCTGGAGAAAGAGCACATCAGACATGTACAGCAATGGTTCTCAACAAGACAGTGTTTTGTCAGGACAAAATAGCTAATTCTAAAGCACCAAGACACTTGGGAATACATAAGCCAAGACAGAGTGAAGCTGAAAGAGAACATACAGCAATCTTATTCTGGATATTTCATTGGCACGGGGCTTCTGAAGAAGTACAACTGGGAATCATACGACGACAAGAGCCTAAACAGATTCTGCGATCCCAGCATTTTTGTCTTGTTAAAGGAAGGCATATGTTCCAGCACAACAGTTTCCTTTCTCTTTCAGACAGGTGTGGCTATAATATTTTATTCTTAGCTATCACATCCAACTTTTTAACTGAAATAAAAGTAACTAGGCTAGCCTAAACAAACAAGGGACAAAACCCTCCCTTAGTCTTCTGTCTCTCATTGTTGCACCCTGGACTGGATTACTTCAATGCCACGTTCTGGTCCAATCCCAACTCAGTAAGTTTTCTCTAGACTGTCCAAAATACCCCACCTCCTGTCTTCTTGCAAGAGATCCTTTATTTCTTACTGTTCTCCTGGGATGCTGAGCTAAACCTCCAGCTATTGGAAACAGCAAGCAGCTACCGTTCCCAACCCTGTGGCACTGAGCAGCGTGCCGGTTGCCTCAATAGCGCTGGCACTGATGAGCTGCAACTGGTCCCCAATATCAGACCTTTGGGACTTCTGTAAAAGTTAACTGAGCAGCTCTGCCCCAGACCTCTGACAGCGTCCAGCAAAAGCAAAGCAACTGACAGTCAGGTGTTGAAGACGTGAAACGCAAGTCTTTCATGTCACTATTAAACACATTACCTAACTACTGTACAGTTAATGTACTAGGAGATAAAAATAGAAGGAAATTTGTTTTTCCAGTAAATTTGTTTTACTGCAATATAAATGCCAAAAGCAATAGCTACTACCTTTTTAGTTACCTAAAATGCCTCTGCTCAGTCATCAACAGCCTTGATTGTGGCTGTGATAAGACAGCAATTCTTGTGGAAGGTAGCGGAAAGAAGGGATGCAGCTTCATTACCAGGGACACAACCAACTCAAGCCAAGGTAAGCAATTTTTTAATGAAAATTCACAAGCTATCATTACAGACAGGTATCCCTAAATGAACTCCTTTCATTCCAGGTACGTTAACTGACTCTAAGTCAACGACTACAGGTTTCCTTTCTCCTGCCAAAGGAAGGAACAGAGACACAAGTCAAGCCTCCCTAAAATAATAACAATAATAATAATAGACGACTTTTCCATTTTATATGTTTTTCCACTTGGACTACGCTTGAGCTCACAAACCCTTCTACTGCCCAGAAAGCAGACGACAGTCACTTCTGTGCCACACTCTTGCTTTCCTCCAAAGAGGGAAGGAGGAGACGAAAGAGAAACGCGCGCCTCCCCGCCAGCTCGCCAAGCAGCGTGACCTCGCGAGCCACAGAAATCCCCAAAAGCCTTTCGCACAGGCGCTTCCTGAGAGCGGCCGCGTTAATCGAGATTACAGAAACCGCTTCCGCAGCTACCAGCGTAAAAAACCTCTGCCCTTAAAGCCAGCTGTTTCTTTTGGTCCTAGGAGGAAGCTACGCAGGGTGCAAACGTCGCAAACGCTGCCTAACAGCTGATGAGCCTGGTCTCTGCGGGGCTGACAGGGCTCAGTCCTAAAATAAGCGACATTCTCCATAGTCACATGCACACAGAGCAAAAGTTTAAGTAAATAGGAGACCTATAGGTGAGTCCCAAAGGTCAACTGACTCAGGCTCGGCGAGTTATTTATTCTTCACTATATCCTAGAGGTAAAAGGAACAAGCAAACTACTGTTTCGGAGTAGGAGTGGTTTCTAGCCACAGTATATAACATAAGGGTATTGCGATGAAAAATTTATGTTGGTTACTGTACCTGAGACTGGGCCCTCATCCCATTCTTCAGATCTCCTAAACCGATTTGTTGTAAATCCCATGCAGACATTTACTCCAAAGGCAAACGCAAATAAAGATATAACCTGCAAAAGCAAAACAGCAAAGCGATCAGACCGCGCAAAACCCAGGACGTTTCAAGTCAAGAGCGTTACTACTCAGATGGTGGAGGTGGTCCTCCGCGCGTTGGAGCTCCCCAGCCCTGCAGCTCCCAGCGCTGGCGCGGGAACTGGCAGAGCCGGTCACCAGTTCAGAGCAACGCAAACCAGAAGGGGTTTATGAATAAAACATCTCTTTTTGCAGCTGAAACGCTTCTTTCTGCGGGAACTTATTCAAGAGAGACAGGCTACTCCTCCTCTAAAAGCAAACACGCTGCTTTCCTCCCCTACCTGATGCAAGTGGAAGCAGCTTCTCCTAGCCATACTAGAGGATTCTTGAAAAGCCCTCGCCGTGCGTGCTCTTTTTCTTTATACGGAGCGCAGTGCTCTGTTTGCTCTGGAGTTCGGGCTATTAGGCTACAACTAATCCCACCTGGTGAGGTTGACAGGCTCGTGTGATTTGTCCAGGGGGTGATTTCATCATGTTTCACTCACAAATCGCAGCTCCGAGTGCAAGAAGCTCCAGGCATCATCCCTCGCTGCGCCCTCCCCCCAAACACACACACACACACGCGCGCGCTTTTATGTGGTTTCCTCTGGCAAAGCAGGATTTTCTTATGCTGCTGCGGCCAATAGCTGTGCGGGGTGGTTTTCAGCCTCCTCGCAGAAGTAACATG